ACATTTACAGTATATTATAGTATGCGGTCTGTTTTTGAGATGTTTAAGTTTCATAATATCCTAATTTTATTAAGTTATGGTGATCCCTCTCCTAACCTCAATCTCCTGCCCGGCAAGTTGGCCAAAATATTGTTGACCTTCTATATTGATTCATCCTATTTGTATTTGAGGTTTATGGGTACATGAAATCCAAATAGGGGTACCCACTGTCTTATTTTGTGCACACCTGTAATTGGAGTTAGTATATCAAGTGGCTTTTTTCTCACATCAACAACCAATTCTATTTTCGACACCAGCTGGATGTCCAACAGTTCAATTCCGTTGTGACACTATCTGGAGTTACCACAGACCCCACAGGTTAGGGGCTCAGTCTCAAAAGACTGTCCTAATTCAGATGCTGGCTACCAATGGGGTACATAGGCTACCCACTTATGCTCTGCTGACTACAAATTCAGGTTCAGCAATTTGCTAGAATGACTCCCAGAACTTAGGAAAGTACTTTACTTACAATTATTGGTTTATTATAAAGGGTGCAACTCAGGAACAGTAGGATGAAAGAGATGCATAGGGCAAGGTATGGAGCCGGTGCAGTTTCCATGTCCACTGTGGGCATGTCACCCACCCAGCACCTCAATATGAGCTTGTTTGGGTGTTTTTAAGGCGGTTTCATTACATAGGCATGATTAATGAAATCATTGGCCATTGGGGAGTGAACTCATTTTCTGGCCCTTCTGCCCTCCCCAGAGGTGGGAGGTGGGGTGGGCCCGAAGATTTCAACCCTCTAATCATGGCTTAGTATTTCTGGCAGCCAGCCCCCATCCTGAAGCCTAGAGTCATCTTACGAGTATACCAAAGAACCAAAGACTCTCTCACTGCTCTGGAGATCCTAAGGTGTTAGGAGCTCTGTGTCGGGACCAGATATTTTTTATACCACAGGATGTGTCTCTAGTAAGGAAAGGTCCTCTCTCAGATGTTGAGGAAAGAAATGGAAACACTTGACTTGAATTTGTCACTAAGAACCCCAGTGCCATCTCTTCCTGGCCGGGCCTTGATGTGGCTTCTCTGAGTGCCCGATGTCTTCTAGGACTGCAGAGGTTTTTGGGCTTAACCTGTTCCTTCACAACTTGCCACATGCCCAGGTGGCTGTTACTCCTTTTCTGTGGCACCTTAGTTCTTGCCTACATCTTTTTTAAAAAAAAATATTTTTTATCGATTTTAGAGAGAGAGGAAGGGAGAAAGAGAGAGATAGAAACATTGATGAGTGAGAATATCAATTGGCCGCGTCCTGCAGGTCCCCCACTGGGGATTGGGCCCACAACCTGGGCATGTGCCCTGCCTGGAATTGAACCAATGACCTCTTAGTACATGTGTCGACGCTCAACCACTGAGCCACACCAGCAGTGTCTTACCCACATTTTATTTCTTCTTTTTAACCTCGGCTTATTCCTCCTGGTGCTCCTTAGCTTTGTTTAGAGTTAGATTTGTATCCTTAACATCTCATTTTGAACATTTCATCTTCATTAGAAAATGAATCAACTAATTTTTTGCAATTTTTGTCTTTGTTGGCTACTTTGATAGGTTCATTTGGAGCTGTCTTTGTTTCAATGGTTGTAGCTTTCCCAGGGAAGTTGAAGTGACCAGACATTTGATTGTTGACTAAGTGAATAAGCACCAGTTAAAAGCTGTTCAGCCCTGGCTGGTTTGGCTGAGCGGTTAGAGTATTGGCCCGCGGACCAATGAGTTGTGGGTTCAACTCCGGTCAAGGGCATATACCTCGGTTACGGTTCATTCTGGCCCTGGTCGGGGTTGTGTGGGAGGCAGTCAGTTGATGTTTTCTCTCTCTCTCCCGCCCTCTCACTCCCTCCCTCCCACTCTATCTGAACAAAGATGGAAAAGTATCCTTGGGTGAGGATTAAAAATAAATAAATAAAAAACAAAAGCTGTTCGATTAACTGTGTGCTCCCATCTTTGGAATATCTCCAGGTACCCACTGTAGAACGGGGGGTGGAGGGGGGGAGGTAGAAGGTGGGTCATTATATTTAACAGCTTTTGGAATTTTTTGTAAGTTTTTAAAAGCTTTTTTTCTTCTTTTTTTGAGGCATGGACTGACCTAATTTACAAAATAAAGGTTTACTGTTGCCTACCTTGTATGATCCCGCCGGGGCTTCTTTGAAGAGACATTATTTCTTGAACCATGGGAATCATATGTCCAAAAATAATAAATTTTGAAAACTGGCAAATACTGTTGTTCATTAATTTACAGATTTGTTTATTGAATTGTGACTACAATTAGCAAGAAGTTTGTTTCTTGGGTTGTGTGCTGTCAGAGGCACTTTGCTTTACCTTGCATGCCATCTTTCTGTAGGGTTACGTGAGTGTTGTCGCTCAAGTGTTTCTCTTAGGAGCGATGAAGAGATTTCCACGGATGTGCTGACAAGTGCTCTTTAATCAAACTTTAAAAAGTGATTCAAGCTTTAGTCATTGGCTTGTTTTTATTCCCAGAACTATTTTACGAAAAAGTTTCAGTGCAGCATAAAAATTCAGACGATCACTGGGTTTATTTCAGTGTTTGTGCTGCACACATATTGTTACAGGTTTTTGTAAAATTTCTAATGGAAAAACATAAACAATTATAACCCCACTGTTCTGAAGCAATGCTATTGCTCGGTGCTGTGATCTCCTGTCTCCCATGATATCCTGTCATCAGATCACCCAGCAAGTGGAGTAAAATAAGCACATACAGTGTTGAGAGATGAGGCAGAAGTGTGGGTAAGAGAAGAGGTCGTGAAAGTGACCTTTTGTTACTGAGGACATTGGAGCGGAACCCACATGATTTACTGTTTAAAATCTTTGAGGTTAAAGTAGGTGGAATGAGCAAAGCTTTCATTAAAAATGGGGTTGGATGAGCTACTTGGGAGCATCTGCATCAACTACAGCTTGAACATCAGCTAAGTCTTCTAGGTGGGGATTGAGTTAGTTGGGTTAAAGCATAGAATTAATATACCCGTTTTCTTACATTGCTTACTTTTCGTATTTGAGTTTAAAAAACGGGGTGAAATAAACTAAAATTTAAATCAATCAATTTTTCCTTTTTTAAAAATCTGTTTTAATTGATTTTTTAGAGAAAGAGAAAGGGGGTGGAGAGAGTAAGATCGAAGTGAGAAACATCGATTGCCTTCTTCCTGCACACTCCATGCTGGGGATCAAGCCTGCAAACTAGGCATGTGCCCTGACTGGGACTCGAACCTGGAACTTCTCAGTCCATGGGATGATGCTCAATCCACTGAGCCACACTGGCCGGGCTCAAATCAATCTTTTTTGTTTTTATTTTTATTTTTTTATCCTCACCCGAGGACATTTTTCCATTTTTTTATTCAGACAGTGCGGGAGGGGAAGAGATAGGAAGAGAGAGAAACATCGACGTGAAAGGGACACATCGGGCGGCTGCCACCCATGTAACCCAACCAGGGCCGGGGACAAACTGCAACCGAAGTACATGCCCTTAGCGGGAACCGAACCCGGGTCTCCCTGGACTGCAGGCCGACGCTCCAACCGCTGAGCCAAACCGGCCAGGGCTCAAATCAGTCTTTATCTCCCAGTAGTATCAGAATTTTTGAAAATGAAACTAGTGCTTAATATAAAATTAAGATCATCTCTCCTCATTTTTTTATTTTTGTATTTCATTCTTACTTGGTAACAAATAATTGAGATGAAGCTGAGATTTAAAGACATATTGGAATTGCTCTTTTTTTGTGGTTAATCCTCACCCAAGAATATTTTTTCAATGATTTTTACATAGAGTGGGAGGGAGAGAGAGAGAAAGAGAGGGAGTGCGAAAAATTGATGTGAGATAGACACATGGATTGGTTGCCTCCCACATGACCCTGCCTGGGTCTGAACATCTAACCTGCAACCCATGTATGTGCCCTTGACCAGGAATTGAACCAGCGACCATTCAGCCTGAAGGCTGCTGAGCCAAACCAGCCAGAGCAAGGGAATTGTTCTTTTTTTAAATATTTGTCTATGAAGATTAGAATTAAAATCTGGAAGGATCTCTAGAAAGCATCTCATTTTACTTTTTCATTTTTAAATCAAGAAATTTGAAACACAGGGTATTATCTTGCCCAAGGGGAGTCAAGAATTGAGTCACATTGCTTTCCATTGATTGTTAGTGACCAGTCCATATTTATTTATTTTATCCTTACCTGAGGACATTTTTCCACTTTTTGTTCAGATAGAGTGGGGGAGAGAGAGAGAGAAACATCGACATGAAAGGGACACATCGAGTGGTTGCCACCCGCACGGCCCAACCAGGGCCGAGGACAAACTGCAACTGAGGTACGTGCCCTTAGCTGGAACCGAACACGGGTTTCTCCGGACCGCAGGCCGACACTCTAACCGCTGAGCCAAACCGGCTTGGGCACTAGTCCATATTTAAGGGGCAGATAGAGCTGATCAGAATTTGCTATATAGACCTTGCAAGCCTGATGATAAAAATGGTTTTCAGTAAAGAGGGATTCACAAACAGGTCACCAGTAATATTATAAACATATATATAATTTTAAAAATGATGATTAAGCCCTAGCCAGTTTGGCTCAGTGGTTGAGCGTCGGCCTGTGGACCAGAGAGTCCCGGGTTTGGTTCCTGCTAGGGGCACATACCACACACACACAAAAAGATGATTAATTTATACTGTTCAGTTAATTTATAATGTTCAGTTTAATGAATGTGTTAGAATCTCAGATTTATAATAAAATATTTTTTGTGTTGCTTGTGTATCCTGATCTCCTCCTTGGGGCTCCTCATTATACTTTAATTTTTAATCCATTAGACTGTACCCATAAGGGCCGGAAGCTTCTGTCTTGTTTCACTGTTGTTTCTAGCACTCAGCAAAGCACTGTTGATTGGTTGGCTAACTCTGATTTACATGGCTAAGCGGGCAACTTAGCATATTTTAGATATCTCAAGTTTGCTTCTTTTTACCCCCCTTGTTTTAACAGTGAACAGAGTATCTGTCAGGCAAGAGCTGCTGTGATGGTTTATGATGATGCCAATAAGAAGTGGGTGCCAGCTGGTGGCTCAACTGGGTTCAGCAGAGTTCATATATATCACCACACAGGCAACAACACATTCCGAGTGGTGGGCAGGAAGATTCAGGACCATCAGGTAAGGGTCTGTTAAATTCTTAAAGTCATCTTGTATTACAAAAGAACTTTGTATATTCAGTAAAATAAAGGTTTGAAACTGTAGTCAAAATAGTCTCTATGGGGAAAACATAGATGGTACTGAAGAAGGGTCCTAAAAGTATCTCAGTGTTGGCAAAAAAGAAAATAAATATTTAAAAATAATTAGACACTTTTGTAAGTCAGGCAATTTCCAAAGAAAACACTGAAATTTTTATTCCTAAGAGAAGTAAAGTATCCTGTGACCTCTAGCTTTTGACAAATGGAGTGTTTTCAGAATGTTTGGAAATTTGAAAATGCTTCCAAATAATTTATGACACTAAGATGAAATCATTATGAAGGTTAGAAAATGTTTAGAAAGGAAGAAAGTACTTGGACCCAGTTGACAAAATATTATATGTAAAAACCTGTGGGACGTCTACACTGTCCTTAGATGGACAAATCTCTTTTTTTATTAAGCTTTTAAAAATTGATTTTTAGAGAGAGTGGGAGAGAGAGAGAAACATTGATTGATTGGCTACCTCTTGCATGCTCTGTACCAGGGATCGAGTCTGCAACTGTGAATTGAACCAGTGACCTTTTGGTGCATGGGACAATGCCCAGCCAACTGCACCATACTGGCATAAAATGACATATAATGAGCTTAAGAAGGAAGCAGAAGGAAATACTAAAAATAAATAGAAATTGTTCACACAAAAGCTGAGTAGAAAAATTGTCAGAATCAAACAGAAACAAAAGTTACAAATAAACAGTATTAGGATTGGAAGAGAGATATAGTTAAAGAAATAGTATAAAAATAAATTACTGTATGATAATATGAACGGCTTTATGCCAATAAGTGGGCCATTTTGTACAAAAACTGGCAGAAAAGTAGAAAAACTTAAAAGACCTGCGATCATAAAATATATCAATAATTAATAATCTACCTAAAATGTTATAAAATGAAGGGAATTCAGAACATTTACAAATAAAATCTAAAAATCTTCCAAACACTACCTGTTATATGCAAACTGTTTTAAATTGTAGAATTTTTTGAGGCTTGCACAATTCTAAAACATAGAACGGTTTGAGAGAGGAAAGGTATAAGCCAGTCTCAATTGTAAACATTGAATTGACATAAAAGTCCTCAGTAAGATAATTAGCAGACCAAATTTGGCAATGTATGTGAAAGAAAAGAAAAAGACCGCCTCTGGACCAAATACAAGGTTTATCTCTATCTCAGTAATTAAAGGATAGTTTAACAATAGATATCCTAGTAATGTAATTTACTGGGAGAAAATCTTTAAGAAACAAGATTTACGCCTGGCTAGTGTGGTTCAGTGGGTTGAGCGTCCATCATCCCATGGACTGAGAGATCCTGATTCATTTCTGAACAGGGCACATGCCTGGGTTGCAGGCTCAATCCCCAGTAGTGGGGTATGCAGGAGGCAGCTGACCGATATTTCTTTCTCACATTGATGTTTCTCTCTCTCTCTAAAAAAAACAAAAATTTTTTTAAAACAACTAAAAGAAAAAAAATGAGATTCAGGAAAAGCATTTGATAAAATTAATATCTGAAGGTAGTTTTCATCACGTTTGGCATAAGAATGAGTTTTCTTAAGGATAAGGATGACTAATATAAATATCTTATAGCAAACATCTTTCAGGATAGTACAGTGTTAGGAGGATTTCCATTAAACTCAGGAATAAGTAGAGAATTTCAGCTTTAATTACTTTCATTTAGCATTGCAGAGGAGGTAACTTAGTGATATAAAGAGGAAGAAATAGAAGCTACAAAGATTGAAAAGGAAGAAATATAGCTAGCCAATTTTATTAACTGATGATATAATTGTCTACGTAAAAAATCCCAAGAGGCCCTGGACACTTTTTCTCAGTGGTTAGAGCGTCAGCCCTTGGACCAAAGAGTTGTAGGTTTGATTCCAATCAAGGGCACATACCTTGGTTGCGGTTCATCCCCGGCCCTGGTTGGGGTCATGCGGGAGGCAACCAATCCATGTGTCTCTCTCACATCAATGTTCTCTCTCTCCCTTCCTCCCTCCCTCCCACTCTATCCGAAGATAAATGGAAAAATATCCATGGGTGAGGATTAAAAAAAAAAATCCCAAGAGTATCTGCAGAGATAAAATATTACAACTAACAAGATTGTTTAGCAAGGTTGCCGGATACAAGATCAATATATAAAAGAAAATATGATTTTATAAAAATACTATTTAAAGTAACAAAAATGATAATGTAGCTATGAATATATCTAATAAAAATTGGTTTCCTCTCATTTCAGTGTACCTTTGTTACATTTCTTAGCGGTTTTCAGTCTTTTCTAAGTGGAAATAAGTTATAATTTATTAAACAATACCTAAACTTTCTGTAGTAAGATCCATTAAAAAAAAAATCACCATTTATTTGTAGAATAGAGCATATACAAATTATATTAATATATGTTAAAATATTTCATTTTTCTGCATTTATTAAGTGGTTATTATGTTCTAGGCACTGTGATTAGGTGTTTTATTTTTTTTAAATATGTTTTTTATTGATTTTTTTTTTTTAAATATATTTTTTATTGATTTTTTTTTTTAGAGAGGGAAGAAGGGAGAGAGGGATAAAAACATCAATGTGAGAGAAACATCAATTGGCTGCCTCCAGCATGCCCCCTACTGGGGATCGAGCCTGAAACCCTGGCACGTGCCTTGACCAGGAATCGAACAGGGACCTCTCAGTCCATGGGATGATGCTCAGCCCACTGAGCAACACCAGCCAGGCTATGGTTAGGTTTTTTTTTTTTTTTAATCCTCACCAAAGGACATATTTTCATTTTTTGTTCAGATAGAGAGGGAGGGAGAGAGAGAGTGAAACATCGACGTGTAAGGGACACATCGAGTGGCTGCCCCCTGCATAATCCCAATGGGGGCCGGGGACAAACTGCAACCAAGGTACGTGCCTTTAGTTGGAACCGAACCCGGGTCTCTCTGGACCGCGGGCTGACACTCCAACACTCCAACTGCTGAGCCAAACTGGCCAGGGCTGTGATTAGGTTTTATAAGCATGGTAAAGTTCCCGACCTTGAAAGAAAGATTCAGTAAAGAATGGGGATGTTTGTTAAGTATGTGAGGAAAGAAATATACTAACTTGTTATATCTGAAAGAACCGTAGAAGTGAGCCCAGCTTTGGACCTGTGTTTACTATAGATTAGTGTGTCAATTTTGAAAGAGGAAACTGAGAAACTAAGCAGATTTGGGGGAGAGTCAAGAGACTAGTAGAGCGAACATTGGAAGTTGGGTCCTACTAATGAGGGAGGGTTGTCCTGGTTATTGCATGGGCCATGATTTGGGACCCCCAGAAGTTCTGTACACTGGAAAGAAGTTTGACTCAGAATTAGACTGGTCCTTATGGCCCAGCTGCAGCCATTTCAACTACTTTTGGATTAAGGTGATTTAAGACTGTTAGTTTCTCTAGCTGTTAGTGAGAAGCAAATGTAAATTTTCCCTGGAAAAAATATAACATCATCATAGACCTTAAAATTTCCTTAAAATTGTCCATATGCAGTGTCTGGCACTCAATCAAAATACCCAGGCATACGAGGAGACAAGAGGAACAGCAGTAGAACCAGACCCACTGGGAGTACAGTTAGTGGAACTATTAGAAAGGGACTTTAATTATGCTTGGTACATTCAAGGAAATACAAGACAAGATGGAGAATTTCAACAGAGAACTGGATCCTTGAAAAAAGAACCAAATGGAAATTTAAGAATTGAAAACTAAAATAACTGCTGTTAACTCAGAGATGAATTTTACAACAAATTAGAAACAGCTAAAAATAATTAGTAAATTAGAATATAGGTCAGAAAAATAATCAAACTGAAGCGAAGATAATCTTAGAGAGAAAAATTTAAAACAAAAAGAGCTTAAGAGACATCAGGGAATACAGCTAAACAAGTATAGTGTATGTAAAATCAGAGGCCCAGAGGAAAGGGGAGAATGGGGCAGAACAATAACTGAAGAGATAGTGAATGAGAACTTTCAAAAGTGATGAAAGAACATCAATTTAGAAATGCTGTAAACCTTGAGAGGGATAAATACAAAGAAAGTCCTATATAAGCCATTGTGTTAAAATCACTGTAAACTAAATTAAAGGTGAAACTCTTGAAAAAGACAGCCATTGAAAAAGACAACTTTACAGAAGCAATAAAACTGTCAGCTGACTTCTCAGTAGAAACAAGAGCTAGCTAGAAGGCAGTGGACTTCAAAGGACTTAAAAAAAAATGAGTGACCATTTAAAATCTCATACCTAATAAAAATATTCTTTAGAAATGAAGGTGAAATAAAGACATTTTCTGACACACAAAAATGGAGAGAATTCATCATCAGATCTGCATTGGAAGAAATTCGTCAAGATCAAAAATGGTCCCAACAGAAGCTTGAAGAGGGTAGAAGGACTAAGAAGCAATGGAAAGCATAAATGTTGATTTTAGATGATCATTGACTGTATAAAACTAAAAACTGTTATTTTTTAAACAGATTAATTTTTTTTAAAAATACGTTTTTATTGACTTTTTAGAGAGAGAGGAAGGGAGAGGGAGAGATAGAAACATTGATGAAAGAGAAACATCCATCAGCTGCCTCCTGCATACCCCCTACTGGGGATCAAGCCCACAACCTGGGCATGTGCCCTGACTGGGAATCAAACCAGTGACCTCTTGGTGCTTGGGACAATGTTCAATCAATTGAACCACACTGGCCGTGCTAAAAATAGTGTTTTATGGGATTAAAAAATATACATAGAATTAAAGTATTTAATAATAAAACATAGGAGTCCTGAAGTGGGCATGGTGGGGGGAGTGCTATTGGAGGTAAAGTATTTGTAAAGTCCTTGTTTTGTTGAGGGAAAGGTAAAAGTACTAGTTTTTATTTGTTTCTGCTAAGTTTAAAATTCCTGTTATAATCTCTAGGGTAACCACTAAAACAACAGTGGAAACATATAATTAGCAAGCTAATAGAGGGAATAATAATAATAAACTCTAAAAGAAGGTATGATAGATTTAGACCAGTATTTGTATGTAATTTACAGTAAGTGTAGATATACACTCCAATTAAAAGCAAAGACTGGTTCGTTGGATCAGTAACACAAACTTGATCATCTGAATATAAAATATAAAACTGAGCCCTGGCCGGTTTGGCTCAGCGGTTAGAGCGTCGGCCTGCAGTCCTGAGAGACCCGGGTTCGGTTTCCGCTAAGGGCATGTACCTCGGTTGCAGTTTGTCCCCGGCCCTGGTCGGTTGTGCGGGTGGCAGCCACTCGATGTGTTCCTTTCACATCGATGTTTCTCTCTCTCTCTCTCTCTGTTCCTCTCTCTCCCTCCCACTCTACCTGAACAAAGAATGGAAAAGTGTCCTCGGGTGAGGATAAAAAAAAATAATAATAAATAAAATAAAATATAAAACTGAGAATAACCAAGGCAGTATTGAAGAACAAAGCAGGAGGACATACTCTAGTGACCATTAAGACTTAGTACAAAGCTACAATAAGAAGGACACTGATGTTGGCTCAAAGATAGGCATATTGACCAGTAGAACAAAATAGAGCCCTTTAGACACTTGATTTATGGAAGAGATAAATCTGCAGCACAGTTAATAGGTAGGACTGGACCAATTGGATAGCCATATTGAAATAAAAAGGAAACTCGCCCTGGCCGGTTTGGTGCAGTGGTAGTGCGTCAGCTCTCAAACCAATGAGTTGCAGGTTTGATTCCGGTCAGGGGCATGTACCTCGGTTGCAGTTCATCCCTGGCCCTGGCCCTGGTCGTGTGGGGGGCAACCAGTTGATGTGTCCTTCTCCCTTTTTCTCCCTCCCATTCTATCTGAAGATAAATAGAAAAATATCCTCAGTGAGAATTAAAACAGAAATAAATAAAAAGGAAATAAGAACCTTACTTCATACCATAGGCAGAAATAAATTCCAATTGGATTGGAGATGTAAATATGAAAGTTTAAAAAAAGCTTCTATAGCCTCGCTGGTGTGGCTCTGTGGGCCCAATCCCAAGTGGGGGGCATACAGGAGGCGGCCAGTTGATGTTCTCTCTCATCGATGTTTCCATCTCTCTTTCCTTCTCCCTTCCTCTCTCTCTAGAATCAATAAAGAAAAAAAAAGCTTTTACAATATGGGGTAGCATTTTCATGACCTTGGGATTGAGAAACATTTCTTAAACAGGTTATAAAAGGTATAAAGGAAAGGATTGCTGATTTGGACTGCATTTAGATTGAATAAAAGTTAAGAACTTCTGTTCATCAAAAGATACCATTAAGAGAGTGAAAAGGCAAGCCACAAAATGGGAGAAGATATTTATAACACAGGTAACCAACAATGTGATTATATCCAGAATATATAAAGGACTTTTACAACGCAATAAAGAAAGATGGACAACTCAGAAGAGAAATGGGCAAGAGATTTAATTAGAGCAGGTATTAATAAAAAATGGTATCCAGATAGCCATTAAAACATGAAAAAGTACCAAATCTAATTAATAATAAGGGAACTATAAACTAGAACCACAATGATACAGTATTGCTAAAATAAAGACTGACAATACCAATGGTAAAGTTGCATTGTGTGTTTAGTTGTGCACACTGTTGTATTCTATTTCAGGGTTGAAAATTGATAGAACCAATTTGGAAAGCTACCTGGAGTTTTCTACTAAAGTTGAAGCTCTCTGTGGCCTGTGACAGCCACTCCTGGGTATATGCCCAACGGAAATGTGTACAAAAAGACATGTAGTAGGGTCTTTGTAACATCACTATTTTTAATATTCCCAAACTGCAAATAATAAAAATGTCCATTAATGGGAGAATGGCTAAATAAACATGATTTGTACAATGGAACACCATTGCTTATAAAAAAACAAAGAAGCCACAACTACATTCAGCAGATGACTTCATAAATATTTTTGAGGGGGAAAAGGGCAGATACCTCACAATACTTATTACGTAACTTCATTTATATAAAATCCCAAAACCTGCAAAACTGATCTATGAAGTTATAAGTGTGGCTAGTACCTTTAGGGGAGGTGAGAGGAGTTGAGAATGATCTGTTTCTTGATCAGAGGTTTGGCCACATGGAAGTGTTCACTGAGGTACATGCTTAAGCCTTATACACTGTGAGTTTATAATACTTGAGTAGACATGTTAAATGTGCTTAATGAGAGAGAGAACTTTTGTTTTGCTGATTTATTGTTTTAAGGCCAGATCTTTGTAACCATCAGACAGCTTGACTTCCATCAGACTTACTTCTGCAGACTTATTTTACCCAAGACAATTGTTTTAACTATTTTTTGCCAAGGTCTGCCTGGAACAAATATGAATGAATGAATATTCAATCAGGATTTGTTGATTTTGCCAATTATTAACTTGACTTTTTAAAAATTTTCTGTCTTTTAGGTGGTGATAAATTGTGCCATTCCTAAAGGGTTGAAGTACAATCAAGCTACACAGACCTTCCACCAGTGGCGAGACGCTAGACAGGTGTATGGTCTCAACTTTGGCAGCAAAGAGGATGCCAATGTCTTTGCAAGTGCCATGATGCATGCCTTAGAAGTGTTGAATTCACAGGAAACAGGTAACGTGCCTGTGGTTGACTTGTTTTCTTGAACTGAAGTGCCATATATAAGTTAAAACAAATCTTTTCTGACCAACTTTTAAATCATGTATTTGAAGTAATTCTTGGATTTTTAGTATTCTTTATAGAAATGTGGACTTGTATTTGTTGATGTAAACATGAAGTCTAGCAGGATAGTCTTATGAGATTGATTCATTAGTAATTTTTAAATGCTCTCATTGGAAGTTACTTAGTTCTGTTTATCTTGCTCTAGAACCTCAACTTTTGTTGTAAGGATATAAGGCCCAGACAATATGCAGTAGGTAGAAATGACACATATTTATCTTCATCTCAGATTTTATGAAGAAACACATGGTTTCTGAAATGTGTTTTTAAAGCCACTACTGAGGCCCTGGCCGGTTTGGCTCAGCGGGTTTGGCTCAGTGGTTGGAGCGTCGGCCTGCGGTCCTGAGAGACCCGGGTTCGGTTCCCACTAAGGGCACGTACCTCGGTTGCAGTTTGTCCCCGGCTCTGGTCAGTCAGTCGTGCGGGTGGCAGCCACTCGATGTGTTCCTTTCACATCGATGTTTCTCTCTCTCTCTCTCTGTTCCTCTCCCTCCCTCCCACTCTACCTGAACAAAAAATGGAAAAATGTCCTCGGTGAGGATAAAAAAAAAAAAAGAAAAAGCCACTACTGAGGCTATGAACCTCAAGTAGGACTATGTCTCCTTCATCCTAGTAGGTAAAAATTTGATTCTAAAAGTTTCAGGGTTTTAGGAGTGCCCTCAGGTGGTATAGCTATGAATTGCATCTCCCCTGACACTACATAGTGGTTAGAAAGCTATGTAGAAATAATTCACTTAAAAAAATTCCCAGGATTTTCGCCCTGGCCAGTTTTCTCAGTGGTTAGAGCATCGGCCTGTGGTCCAGAGAGACCCGGGTTCAGTTCCTGCTAAGGGCGCGTACCTCGGTTGCAGTTTGTCTCCGGCCCTAGTTGGTCGTGCAGGTGGCAGCCACTCGATGTGTTCCTTTCACATCAATGTTTCTGTCTCTCTCTCTCTCTCTCTCTCTCTCTCCCTCTCTTTCCCTTCCATTGTATCTGAACAAAAAATGGGAAAATGTCCTCGGGTGAGGATGGAGAAAAAAAAAATTCCCAGATTTAAGACTGTATATATATCAGAGATGAGCTCTATTTTTGTTTAAAACACAGAGAAAGGTTTACACCAATGTATTATTATCTCTTTGGGGAGGTAGGTTTTATAATCAGAAAATAAATGTTATATATAAAACAATACAAATGCAATTACTCTTACCTTTGCTGTGCATTTAGTAGTGATCCATATGATATACGTATTTCATAAACAAAACTTATTCATATATTTTAAGAGGAATGACTTATGTAGTCAGATTAAGATTTGATATTTTGTTGAAGGTACAAAATTTTAAAACCTGTTACAGATACATTAAATTTTATTTGTTCCTCCTCTCATTGTGAAAGAAGATGGAAACATCTAGCCCATGTATTAGTTTATTTCAAATGTGAATTTCAGTGCAAGAAGACATTTTGGAATCTTGCCAGAAACCATGGTATTATGCCTAATAGGATGGTTTATATTAGATCTCTTTTGAGGAAATTAATATCTGTATAAATAATTTGCACATAACCTTCATATCTTATCTATTTTGAGAAAATAAATGACTGGAACTTCTCCTCGTTTGTGAGTAAGTCCAGAAAATAGCATAGAAAAGTCTGCATGTATACAGTCTTGTATGTGGATTTTCTAAGTTACAGTACTTACCTTGTAGGCATCAGCATTTTATCAGCATTCTAGTGTAAGTATAGAATTGCTTTACTGTCACCATAGATTTATCATAGGAAAGAAACTCTTAATATTCTATTAAATGGGTCAACTACATAACAAAATAATTAAAGGACCAAAGTCAGGTAGATATATATGACAATCATATTTGGTATCCCCATGTTTGGAACAAACTAGCATTTTAATTTCTAAACCTTCAAAAGAATATATACTTGTCTTAGGAGATAAGTGTTACTAATTTAAAGTAGTTAGAATTACTGTTGTTGATCTGGTCATCAATTTTTTTTAAACCAATGGAAAGGATAGTTTTTATCAGTGTGTAGTTACACAGTTTGCTTTCAAAGTGCCAATGTTAGTGTTTATTTCTTCTGATCTTGATATTTTGTAATTAATGAGTCTTAGTATGGAAAGACTCAATTACATTCTCCATAATTTCCACATTATGGAAAGTTTGGTAAATGAGAAAATCGCCCTTCATCTCACTAGCTACATGAGCATTTTGGAAAGGCAAAAAAATTTACTAGATTCTTCTTAGATGATTTTGAAACTTTATTGTCTTTTCTGTCACAGTCTCAACCTGTAATACCATGGGCTGAGGAAAGAGAGAAACATGGAAGAAGTTGGTCATCCTTGTCATCTGCTTGCATCATGGTGCAAGTCATTGGCAAAGAGGCTCTTGGGTTTATAGCTTTTTCATCAAAGAAAACAAAGCATATAAAATGGTTGATGTTTTTCATAGTCTGATTTATTTAGAAAATGACTTTTCATAAATTTCTTTAGTTAAACACTAATTTCTGGGTTTTTTGTTTTGTTTTACTAATTTTTATATGTTTTTTATTGATTTTTTTTTTAGAGGGAGAGGAAGGGGGAGAGAGAGAAACATCGATCGGCTGCCTCATGTATGCCCCCCCTACGGGGGATCAAGCCTGAAACCCGGGCATGTGCCCTGACTGGGAATCGAACCAGGACCTCTCAGTTCATGGGACAATGCTCAGTCCATTGAGCCATACTATCCAGCTCATTTCTGATTTTTGATGCTATTAATTGGTTTGGAAGTGGAGGCATGGGAGTAGGTAGATGGTAAAAATAAGGAATGTCCTTGGGAAAGGACTTAATTTTTTCTGTAAATCTCCATCAAAGTAGGATAGGTATGTACCTTATTCCAGGTTTATTTTGTAGGCCCCCTCCCATCCACCTAAATAAACATACCCAATAATGTCACCTCTCATCTTGAACATCTTTCCCTTCCACCGTTGTTTGCTTTGGGTTCACAGCCAGTTCCTTGCTAAAACCATCCATTATCTTTCTGCCAAAATCAAGTTGAAAAAGGTTAACCTGTGTGTCTCCTCCCTAAACAAACAATATACCCCATAAATCTCTGATCAAAAGCAGAAGAAACAGATTAATCCATAAAGGTAAAGCAACTACAGACATTAGTCTTTTCTACTTCTTAATACCTTACCACATTTTAAAACCATTTTTAAAATACCGAATACTTCTGTTTATTTTATTAGGTATTGATGCCAGTATTACCCATTGAATATTGATAAATCCTTCTTAGTGATTTTTAGATTTTTTAAGGTTATAGATACCTTTGTTCAAATAAATTTTTAAAAAGAAGTTCAGTGCATAAACAGACCAAAAAAAAGGAGCTTCTCTAGTTAATGGGGGGAGGGGAGGTTGGGAGCCCATAGCCACTGAGGCACATACCAGAGCAGGATTTGAAAATTACTAACCTATCTTTTTTACCAAAGCTAATAATTATACAGTTCTCTCTTCCTCTCTCCCTTGTAACCCTAAGTCTTCTAAATCCTCAAATTTTTTATATTAAAAAAAAAAAATAGCTTGGGGCTTGTCATGCCGACCTTTACAAGGTGTTCTATATGTTTAATATTTTCATTTCTTTGGAAAAGGGTGGGTGGCAGAAATGTTTTTCTTTATTTTGTTTTTAACTTGGTGTGCAATTATCTAATACACTGGAAAGTACAGGAGGTGCTAAATACAGTGAGTTATATTTGGAATTTAAGAAACAAAACTCACATGTAACATTTTTTAAAAAGAGTTGAAATAGTGCTCTTCCTTTTATACCAAATATACCAAATGCTGCAGTTTATCTGTTTCTGTTGTCTGATGGAAATGGACTTGATTTTAAACAAGTGCGTTCAAAACATGTTATTCAGACTGATGTTTTGGATTTCTATATTATTTATCAAGTATGTGTATAGCAATTATACAGATAATAGTTACAGATTATGTAAAATATAAGTCAGTCCCGGTAATGATTGGTAGAGGTAAAATTACTCAGTGTTTTATTTTGAAAAAGGTGTAAGTCATTTGAAAACAGGAGGTAATATCTTAAATTCACTCTTTGGCTCACTCTCTGACGGGAACTCATGTGCACGCAGCGAGGTTATCGTACTGCTTGTGCTCACTCAACCCAGACCAGACATGTCCTTCTAGGGGGAAACCTCAGTGTTTGCCACTGACAAACCGCTTCTGCTCGATTTTTTAAAAATTTCTACTGAAAATAAGAATGTAGTCAAAGATACTCTGGAAATTTCTTTAGTTTTTATAAATAAATATAAGTATTGAGATACTGTTTATTTATTTACTGATAATTCGGCCTAATATACCTTCTGATGTGAGCATTTGTGTAAATTTTATCTCAGCATTTTTAAGTCTTTTTGAGATTTTTAAAGATTAATTGGATTTAAGAGATCTCAAAGAGTTTCTAGAAATACCTTATATTTGTAGTGACACTTATTTTCCAGATTGCCATTATTCATGAGAGCAGTATTAAGGTTATATCACAAAGATCATCAAATGTGTTTTGAGCATAGATACTTACACTAGACATTGGGAATCATACTGACAAGATGAGGCTTATTCCTTGCCTTGCAGGATTTCACAGTTGGGCTGGAGCTGCTAGAAACAAGGTCAGCAGAATTAGAATACATTTTGAAGAAAATTCCAGGGTTAAGGAAATTTCTCAAGAGGAGATGATGCTCGAGCTATGTCTTGAAGCATAAATAGGCCTCCAGAACATTCTGGGCAGGCTTGGAGGCATGAACGTGCAGCAGTTGGGAAACAACAGATGAACTGTGTAGGGGCGTGGGCATGTGCATATGTATGAGGGGAGGAAAATCCTAAGAGATAAAATGGGAAAGGTTGGGAAGGACCTTGCATTTTTGCTGAGGAGTG